CCCCCCCCCCCTCCCCCAGCCAAACAAAAACAAAAAACAAAAACAAAACACTGGGGCTCGGTGGGGCAGTCATTGGCGGGGCTGGGAGAGCAGACAGGGGATAGGACCTGTTTTAATTCGGAGATTCAGCCTATTTGGCAGTGACTGAATCTCCTAATTGGATTTGGCCAGATCAATTTGGGACAGCGATTTGAATCTCCAAATCAAATTGCTGTCCCCCAAACTGGCTGAATCCGAAGCGAATACAGGCCTGCTATATTTCATAGATTTCATAGACTTTAGGGCTGGAAGGGACCTCGGAAGATCGAGTCCAGCCGCCTGCCTGAGGGGCAGGAAGCCAGCTGGGGTCATAGGATCCCAGCAAGATAAGCATCCAAATTTCTCTTGAAGGCATTCAATGTTGGTGCTTGAACCACCTCTGCTGGCAGGCTATTCCAGACCTTGGGGGCTCAGACAGTGAAGAAATTCTTCCTTATGTCCAGCCTGAAACGGTCTTGCAGGAGTTTATAACCGTTTGACCTGGTCATCCCTTGGGATGCCGCCCTAACTGTGAAGTAGTTCTTGCGGATGTCTAATCTAAACCTAGTCTCCAACAACTTGTGGCCATTATTCCTTGTTATCCCGGGGGGGCGCTAGGGGAAACAAGGTCTCCCCACAAACCCTTCTGGTCCCCCCTAGTGAGTTTATAGATGGTCACCAGGTCCCCCCTCAGCCTTCTCTTGTGAAGGCTGAACAGGTTCAGGTCCCATAGCCTCTCATTGTAGGGTCTGCCTTGCTGTCCCTGGATCATGTGGGTGGCCCTCCTCTGGACCCTGTCAATGTTGTCCACATCCCTCTTGAAGTGGGGTTCCCTGAACTGGACACAGTATTCCAGCTGTGGCCTGACCAGTGTCGTGTAGAGGGGTAGGATCACCTCCTTGGCCCTATTGAGATGCAGTAATATGGCCAAGATTATCGTATTTGTAAGATTTTCTTTAAGGTTTCTGTTTCACTAGAGCATTTTTTTCAGCTAAGCTGATCTTTTGTTTCACTTCACATCCATTCTTCGCATTGGGAGAGCCCACGCTTGCACCCTTCATGTGGTGTACATAAGGTACAGTCAGCTCTCCTAGACTGTCTTTCCCTTTCAACCTTGCGTCCTGTAGGATCCTGCCCATGATTTCCCTGAATGTGTTAGTTAGCCCTTCTGATATCCAGTGTCTGTCTTGCTACCATCTCTCCTTCCTTCCTTTCCTTAGTATCTTATTTCATGGTCACTGTTTAAGTCACCTTCTATCTTCACATCCCCATCCAATTCCTTCCTATTTGTAAGCAGCAAATTGTAGAGTTTCTCTACCATCTGTACCAAAAGGTTATCTCCAGCACCCTTTAAGAACTTACTGAACTGCCTGTGCACTGCTCTGTTACCTTGGCTACAGGTGTCATGGTCATTTAAAGTCCCCTATTACCACCAGGTCCCGTAATCTGGATACTTCAAATAATAGTTAGAAAACAACTTTATCTGTCGCCTCCTGCTTTCGTGGTCAGTGACAGACATCCACTGTGATATGCCCCTTGTTCTGACACAGTAAGAAGCAGGAGATAGGCCTGTTGAGTCTCCATGTCAAGAGAAAAAGAGAAAACAAGGACTATGTGAAAAAGTAGCACCACCTTCTACTTCCCCTGCTTGGCCGCCTTGAATCAAGTTATGCTCATTCATGGTAACATTTCAGTCATGCCAAGTTATTCCATCAAGTCTGTTACTGCAGGTATAGCACTACATACTGCTGTGATCATATCAGGACTTCAGTTCTTACTGCTTGTTCCCCACACTTCTTTCACTGATATATAAGAGTTAGATCAGGGGTTTTCAACCTTTTTTAACAAGTGTAGCTGTTCTGTCTCAAAGTTTCAGCTCATGTACCCCTTTATATTTTTTTCGTTTTTAATGTTACCAGTTATGTTTCTGAGTGCTGCCACCACCCGCCCGAGTGCTGCCCAAGCTTTCAGTGACAGCCCATCCTTGACCTGCGCACAGATCTGGGGTCACATGCCCCCCTCCCATGGCCTCCTCCTGGGGTGCATGTAGGGGTGGGAGGTGCGACCCCCCCCATGTCCCCTAGACAAGCTGCTTGCAGCTCTGTCCTGTGCCCTACCCCTGCCCCACTCCTTCCCTCACCACAGGGCCCTCGATCTGCCCCCTCCCCCCACGCCCCTTCTGTCACAACAGACTTACTAGCTGGACCTGGCTACTCATCACGCAGGCAACCAGGCGCACAGCCCAGCAGCAAGCTGCACTGCAGCTGCATGCATGCACAGGGCATTTTTTGGCTGCATTATCAGCTACATCAGCCAAAAAAAGCCGATGGCCAATACTTGTTCATTTGTTCTGCATACCCGCTATGACTTTTTAAAGTACTCCTAGGGGTACACGTACCCCCAGTTGACAACCGCTGTCTTAAACAACTAAATGATTGTCGTGCTGACATTCCTCTAAGAATACTTTGAACCTAGTTTAAACCTCTCCACAGTGTTAGTGATTCTATATACAGTGTTCCTTTTTTCCCATTTTGTTCAGTGGACCTTGTCTCTGCCAAGCAGTCCTTGGAATGCCACTCCATAATCAAAGAAGTCCAAGCCCTGCTGGGAAACACTAACTATAGAGCTACATGTTGATATCAAGAGTGCATCTGTTCCTGCCTGGGCTTTCACCTTTGACTAGAAGGATCAGTGAGAACATATAACCTCTGTCCCTTTCACCTTTGTGCCCACAGTCCTGTACTCACTTTTGATCAGCTCAGCATCATCTGTAGCAAAATTGTTGTGCCCACATAGATGAGCAGCATGGGGCTAGCTGTCAGAGGTGCAGCTGATCTTGGCAGCCTTTTATAAGATCTCAGATTTGGGGCTTCTGGTATGTGCAGGCCTCCTGAGTCTGCCTGGCAGGGGATGCTTTTTCCTACAAAAGGGAGTTGCCAACCACTATCACGCGTCATAACACTAATGATGGGGTTACCTTGGGGAAACTGTCCAGCAGCCACAAAAAAAAAAAAAAAAAATCATACAAGGAAAGTAGCCTAACCTTTGTTCTTGGAAACATTTAATATGAAAATAGGAAAAAATGTTAAAATCTCTTACGTAGGGTAGGATATATTTCATGGAAATGTTCATGTAATCCAAGGATTAAGAAAATGAAAAGACCTGGAATTCTCAAGATATTCAGCAGGTGATAAGCAGGGATCCAGGTTTTCCCTGATTTAAAAAATTGCAGATTCTCTCCTAAAACCCCCCAAATCCATGATTAAACTTAAAGGTTCCCCACAGTCCCCAACTGGCCCTGGTCAAGCCTCTCACTTGCCCCCCCCCGCCTCCCTAACCTTCCTGGTGCCTCTCACCCCCCCACCCAGATATGTGCATGGGCTGCAGACCTGGGCTCCTG